GTGTTTCCTTGTCCAGAGGGGGGGGGGGGGGGGTTCCGGGGGTTGGAACCCCCCCTTTTTTCCTGACAATCAATGCATTTGAATGGGGACATATAGTTGGAACCCCCCCTTTATCCTGGGTTGGGAAACCCCCCTTTTGAAAATGGGTGGATCCGCCCCTGTTGTGTCATGAATTGATATAATATTTTCTTTTTTTACATTTATATGTTACAAAGGTAGCATTATCTGTTTTCATAATGTACAAAGATATGATAGAGTGGTGTTCCAATGATAGTCATACATGTAAATAATTGTCTCATTGGCAATCACACTACATCACCATATTGTTATACATGTAGGTACCTGTTGGTCAGTGGTTGTCCTTTGTTGATGTGGTTCATAAGTGTTTCTCGTCTCTCTGTTTTTATATAGATTAGACCATTGGTTTTCCTGTTTGAATGGTTTTACACTAGTCATTTTTGGGGCCCTTTATAGCTTGCTGTTTGGTGTGAGCCAAGGCTCCATGTTGAAGGCTGTACTTTGTCCTATAATGGTTTACTTTTACAAATTGTGACTTGGATGGAGATTTGTCTCATTGGCACTCATACCACATCTTCTTATATGTAAACTTTTTGTAAAGAAGACAAATGAAGTTGAACACAAGATATTTATTTGCATTTCTTTCCATATGGTCTCTGCACAACTGCCACTGTACCATTTCTGCTTCAAATACAATAGAATTTAAGGAAACAGAGTCTTGTATTTGTTTTTAGCTCAATGATGCCACCATCACTTGCACAAAAAGCGCATACATCAAGTTTGGCATATGAACTAATATAATATGGTGTTTATATGTGAATATTTGTCTCTAACTTCAATAACAACTAACAAAATGAATGCATTTAGCTGTGCAGACTGACTGAGCCAGCGTTTAATATATATTTTATATATCAATACATATATGAAGTACAAGTACATTTCAAAATGCGAATATATATATATATAGAACAAATAAACATTTGAACAATAATAATAATAATAATTCTTTATTTAAAGAGGGTTACACAGTTAGCTATAAAACTAGTCTTCCCTGAGGCCCTCCAATGACAACCAAGAAGCAGAAAATGCCCATATCTCTATAAATGTATGCATATATCCGTCTTTAATGTAACCTCGCCGCCCAGGAAAAACCACAAAAACTTTACTAAAGAAAATTGATATGGGAACCTGTGTTACGGGTCAAGTGCAAGGCTCGTCACAGGACATTTATGCCGAACCTCATCAAAAACAAATATCAAATTATCTACCATTGAAGTTTAGTGTTGAACGTTTTTTTGTTTTTTCTTGGTCTTTCACCTCAAAGGATTTCGGGAAGATTCACATGAATAAATGATGTGTTGGATGTTGTCTGTGACGCAAATAATTTAAGCTGCATCTGTAAGAGAAACAAAAAGTTATGAATTTGTGCTTTGTTGGAGAACATTGATGTCATGGAAAAGCAGGCCCGTCTACAAGCTCAGAGTATAATTAATTGAATGTAGCTATTGCATGAACTGGCAGATATCTATATGCTACTCGTACTCATATGCTACAACTAAATCTAGCCATATTTTTCCCAATTACTACACAGGAATTCAGATAAATATATAGATATCCAAATTGACAATCAGAAACTGTACTGTCCTTTACTGAAAATATTTAAAAGGTTTCAGTTATTATTTATCAAGGAATCATTGTACAATTTTCAATTTACAGGCTATGTCAAATATATTTCCTGGTTATCAGACAATGACTTCTAAAAAATAGATGGAGGCAAATTAATTTTTGTATTTAATATTTTGCTGACTGTTTTCCTATGGTAATAGCGTGTATAGAAAATATATAAAACAATTATTTTTTTCCACAAATTGCACCTTTTGTAAACTACAGAAAACAGAAAAATAAATTTTCAAAATTTCGCTGTGGATTCTTCTTTTGTACAATTACTTGAAAGATTGACAAAGTTATTAATGTTTAAAAACTATTTAACTACAAGACTGAACCTAAATTTTGACACCTATAAAAACGTAATGTAGGATTGCTATGCCTGGTTTCTGCAACAAAATGTCACAGGCTTGACAAAATTCAAGGGCGTTTACATAATCTTAGTCAACAAGATTATAAATCTATGCAATGGTTCTTACCTAAAAAGGCAGCTCCAATGTCCATTCTAAACATCAATCCATACTGACGAGCAGTAATTAATGCTAGCCTGAAAATAAAATGCTTAGTCAATCAAAACAGAGGCTTTAAAGAACCTGTGTCGCTCACCTGAATCTTCAACAATAACCACTTCTTGGTTATAATTATCACAAAAGGACAATAACTCTATAAAGAGTTAACTGACAATTTCAGTCATGTTGACATATTTGTAGATTTTGTCCTGCTGATCATTTTTGCTTTTTAAAGTTTCTATCTATATTTGTATCCATTCTACTCTTTTCAAGATAATAGGCAAAAACTTTAAAAAAAAAATGGTAAAAATCATCTTTAAACGGAAAAAACTCCCAAGAACAGGTTGAATTAAGATTTAAGACATGGTGGCTTTTTTGTCAATCTTGTATTGCTGATCAATGTTAAAAATTGTCATTGAAGATCAATAACTCCAATAACTAGTCCTCTGAAGATTTCAGCCATATGACTTTTGTGCATATCTTGTCTTATTTTTATTAAAATTTCTCTCCATTTATTTTTGTTTTCAAAATAATAGATAAAATTGGAAAAAAAATTGGTAACATTTGACATTTAAGGGCAATAACTCCTTTAAAAATGTGTCTGACAGTTTTGACGTAATTACACATTTACAGCAGGTAGATCTCAATATTCTAACATTTCTCCAATTTCGTGGATTGAAGAACAATTGTATTTTTGTGGGTTTTGCTAAAGTTGGCATACAAGCCTATAGAAAATTTGTAAGTTTACATTAAACACTTTTATAAGTTGGTCACTTATATATCCACAAAAATTGGTATCCAAAGAATGATAATGAATCCAGAGTATATGGAAATAGGTTCTTAAGTTGTACTGTTACACCACTGTCCCAGGTTAGGGGAGGGTTGGGATCCCGCTAACATGTTTAACCCCGCCACATTCTGTATGTATGTGCCTGTCCCAAGTCAGGAGCCTGTAATTCAGTGGTTGTCGTTTGTTTATGTGTTACATATATGTTTTTCGTTCATTTTTTGTACATAAATTAGGCCGTTAGTTTTTCTCGTTTGAATTGTTTTACATTGTCATTTCGGGGCCTTTTATAGCTGACTGTGCGGTATGGGCTTTGCTCATTGTTGAAGGCCGTACAGTGACCTATAGTTGTTAATTTCTGTATCATTTGGTCTCTTGTGGAGAGTTGTCTCATTGGCAATCATACCACATCTTCTTTTTTATATATATGACAAAATGAGTAAAAGAAGATGTGTTGAATACATAAATGTGACAACATCCCAACAACACAAAAAATATGACATCCATATGATTAATTAAAATCTTTAATACATTAAGTCAAATTCTGATTCTGGTACTGATATGAAAAAAAAAAACTTTCTATCTCAAAATTTTACTTTTCATGATTTAAAATTTTTATTCTTGATCCGGGAAACCATATATTAAACTGATAAAATTCTTTTTTTGTGTGTTGTAAATGTGGAAAATAAGAAAAAAGATGTTACCTTATGTACTTTTATCACATATTTTTATTGTAATAGAACTTACATGTACCGATAGTGAGGATCAGCAAATTTTCTCCAAGGACTATCTCTGATGAAAACCAAACGTAATAAGTTAATATCAATATTTTCATGCAGGCAACATTGTTTTATTCAAATATTTCTTAGATTTCTGACGTTATCCCATGACTTTTGTATGTGATCATGTATGTTGAACAAAAAATATCCGACACTGTGACTCTGAAAAGAAATGTACTATCTCTGAACTAAAGATATTTGTAAACAATTTTTATTGTAATGAGCATGGTCTTCACTAGAATGAAAACTACATATAAATTATAATGAGTTATGATTTGTGTATTCCTAGTACAATACATAATTATAGGTATGTTTTAAGTTGGTATAATATCATTAAAATTATATGATAGTTCACTAGGCATTAAAAGTCACAATAAATCTAAAATTAAAGCTATATGGTGGTTCACTCTGCATTTAAAGCCACAATAAATTAATGATTTAAATATATAATAAAAGTTTAAAATTTGTTTCCCCCCTTTTTTACTAGTATGACACTTAAATGCTGGAATGTACAATTTGTTTCAGAATTTTTTGTTTACCTGGAGAACATATGTAAATGGGAAACACCTGCAATTAAGCCATGAAGGCAATTAATTAAGGGTATGAACATGTTTATAGAGACTTTGAAAAAGGGTAGGTACATGCAACTAAAGCTGCTATATAAAAATCATAATCACACCTGTTTTCTATATTGACCTATTGAACGAAAATGAAAAAATATGAGTAACATGCATATACTAGTAATGACAAAAAAGTTGTAAACAGTCCTGTTTAAACTAACTTAATTCTTGATATTTTAATGTGGCTCTTTATTCCAGGCTTGTGACTGGCAAGTTGTACTGTATTCATATTAATAAGCACCTTGGTTTTATTTAGAAATTAAAAATGGGGTATCTTATATCAATGAAAATGATAAAAGACGTAAATATTGGTCTGCTCTAGATGATGATTGTAAAGATAATTTTTAAAATAGATTTCCTGCATAATGAGGTAATATTATTTAATCACAAAATTTGTAGGAAAATCTAAGAGTACTATCACGATTGTGGGTGTTATGGTGCATGAAAATTGGTGAATACAGTATTACTTGGCTGCATTACCCACCTCCCTCCTCAATTTTTTTTTTTAATTTTCTTTTCTTTTTTCTTTCTTTTCTTTTCTTTTCTTTTCTTTAATTTTCTTTCTCTCTTTTCTTTTCTTTTCTTTAATTTTCTTTCTCTCTTTTCTTTTCATTTTTTTTCTCTCTTTTTTATAATTTTTTTTTTTTTTTTTTTTTTTTCTTTTCATTTTGTTTTCCTTTTTTTTTTCTTTCCTTTTTTCTATTCATTACATTTATGTACACAAAATAATGCATGTGCTTGAAACTTTTTTCTTTCTTATATAAATATATATATATATACATGTATGTACAGTCTTCTTAAACTTGTAGAAGATTTTGAACAATTGTTTTTAGAATCCCAATCTTTCAGTAGTTGTTTTGTTTGTTGATGCAGCGCATTTTTCGTCTTCATTTGGTTATATTTTCCAAGCAGTTTAAATCCAATAATCATCATTGCTCTCTCATACTGTTCAGTAAAAGACATGTTTTCCTGGATTTTCCGTTGCAAGTCAAACTTTTAACTTCTTCCGGTTCCTAGAATTGTATCAACCAGTGTTGTTATTTTTCTGGAAAAAATGATTTATTGATTTATAACAATAAAGAAGACTAATGATTTGTATATCAAACATAAGCTTTTATTTTATATATTGTATTGTTCAATGTTGATCATCTGCATATGGAATCATTTATATTGGGATATTACGACCAAAAGTCTAGTTTAGCTAGTGCATTCTCAGATAGTAGCCTGGAAACTCCAGACCAATTTAACAAAAAAAATGTTTTGGAGCAATACTTCATTTCAAACCCAATTCACATGCAACTGTGCTTTTATTTGTGTACATGTACTTTTATATAAGAGCACACATGGGCACTCGACTAGGATGTAATGGGGCTTGCATGTATTTTCTTGCAATCTCTTGAATAAACTGTTATCACAGAGATATGTCTCGCCTTTTTGTAATTTTGATAATGCAAATGTTGAAATTAAAATAGCAATACTTTAACATGTAAGTTATGCAAATATTTTCAAAGTCGATGAACCATGACTGAAGGTACATGGCTAAAAAATCTCCATGGAAATGAAATGTGCCAATGCTAATACAACTGCATACCAAATACCATTGACTTATTATAAGTCGTTCCCTTTAAACAAACCTAAACAAACATTAACTTGTAAACTATGTAAAAGTTTCAAAGTCAATGAACCATGATCAGGGGTGGGGCTATATAATCTCCATGGAAATGATACTTGCAAATGCCAATAAATTTGCATACCAAATATCATTTACTTAACATTAGCAATTTATCTTAAACTGATCTAATCACAAACTAATACATGTAAACTAAGCAAAAGTTTCAAAGTAAATAGACCATGACTGAGGGGGCGGTGCCAAATATTTTCCATGGAAATGAGATGTGCTAATGCTTATACAACTGAACACCAATTAACATTGGCCTACCACTAATGGTTCCCCTTGAACTGACCTAATCACAAACTAATACATGTTAACTTAGCAAAATTTTCAAAGTCTATAGACCATGACAAAGGGGGCGGAGCCAAATAATTTCCATGGAAATGAGATATGCCAATGCTTATACAACTGCATACCAAATATCATTGACCTACCACTAGTGGTTCCCCATAAATTGACCTAATCACCTAATCACAAACTAATACATGTAAACTATGAAAAGTTTCAAAGTCAATAGACCTTGACTGAGGGGGCGGGGCCAAATAATCTCCATGGTAATGAGATGTGCCAATGCTAATACAACTGCATACCAAATATCATTGACCTACCACTAGTGGTTCATCATGAACTAGACCTTATCACAAACTAATACATTGTTGACGCCGCCGACGCAGGAAACAGCATACCTATGTCTCGCTTTTTGACTCCGTCAAGGCGAGACAAAAGTCATACATAAACATTTAGAATTAGTAAAAATTGGGGGTACTTTTATTGTGGTTAAAAGTATCCCCATCTTTCCTTAAAATACATTAAGGGAACAACCATTTAACTTCAAGGGGGGGGGGGGGGGGGGTTATGGTTTTTGCCTTAAAAAAATATTCTGATCCTCAATTTGATGAAAAAAAATATTGTGGTCAAGCAGATGACAAAAAAAAAATATTCTGAATCCAAATTTTCCCCATACCTTAAAGATTAGTTTATTGTAACTAACTGAGTTTACCCTCTTTAAATAAAGAATTTATTATTATTATTATTATTATTATATGTTCAATTTTGAAAAAAATTATTTGATTGATAGCGTCAAAATACTATAAAAAAAATGTTGGCGCGCAAAAAAAAATTCTGACTTAGACAAACAACTGTAAACCCCCACCTTGAAGTTATAGAGGTATTTTAAATGACAATTTAGCACAAGCATTCGAAACAAAATGTATTTAATTTACTAGTATGATTAATCAATGATGCCTATTTGATTTTTCGAAAGAGGTTCTCAAGAAGATCAATTTTATGTTAAGAAGACAGCAATATTCAAACAGGAAACCAATTAGTCGAGTAATGTTTTGGTATTTAATACTCGGTACTACAGAGCGATACTCGAATACTCGATGACATCCCTACTATGTACAGATATATATTTACCTGTTTGTGTACATATGTTTATTGTGAATTCAGTTTCTTCAGGTTCCTGACAATCTTTCCAACCAAAAGGATCCAAATTTTCATCTGCATAATAAAAAAAAAAACTTAGGCCAAATAAAAATATATGTGTAGTTCCAGTTACATCCTCCAAAAAAATTGGGTCTGTAGGTCAACTTTGTTTTTTTTTTTTTTTGGAATGTCAAAATCTGGAAAAAAATCTTGTTCACTGAGTCTGATTCTGGTAATATACACACTCCTTCTGGAAGTTTGCCATTTTCTATATGTTTGGTTGTAAAATAAAAAGACATATTATGTATTTAGTTAATTTTTGTTGCATTCTGTTAAGAAATTGTTGCATTTTTAGCCGTAGTGGATACTTTTATTGGAAATTGATATGACTGAAGTCTGTGAATTTAATTTTAGAAATTCACATTCCATAAAATGGGATCGTTCAAAATTTATTTAACAGAATTAAAAAAAAGTACTAGGGTCGGTCTGGTAACCAGAACCACATATATATTTTTATTTTGCCTTAATTCTAACGGCAATCATGGCAATTGATCATATCTTAATTCAGGTAGGTTTTGAAAATTAGTATCAAAATGAAGGCAATAGTATGTGATTTAAAAAGAATTTTTGTTTCTGTTTGTTGTTAACATATAGTTCATTTTTTATGCCAGCACCAAAGTGGAAGGGGCATTAAGTGTTACCCTTGTACGTCTGTATGTACGTCCCAAAAGTGGGTATCGTTCTTCACTTTAGTTTGCCTCAACCAAATATTTTGAAACTTATACACAATTACCACAAAACTCTGATCAGCTTTGAATTTAAGTGGCATCACTTTTACTGTTCTAAAGTTATGCCCCTTTACAAATGGAAAAATTGCTGAATTTTTCATTTCCGTCCTCGAAATTAAGTGTGCCTCAACCAAATGTTAGTAGACTTATCCCAATGCTTATTACCGCAAAACTCAGATCAATTTCTAATTAGGGTGACATCACTTTTACTGTCCCTTTATAATGTTTTATGCAACAAGGGGCATCATCTTCTCCATTTATTTATTTTATTGCAAATTAGAACTATGAAAAAATAACAAGGATTTTAAGATTTTCAAACATGGCTTTTCAAACAATATGTAATAAAATTATGAAAAGATAAGTAGGGGTGTAAGCAGGCAAAATTGTAATGGCACTTCATGGATAAAACGAGATGATTCCGATTATCTGACAAAAAGTTAAAAAAAAAAAAAAAAGAGCAAACATCCTTTAGTATTGATGTGTTTACGACACTTGGACAAAGACCATAACCATATATCCCCTGTGGTGCAAGGTAGACAAAAAGAACTGACTAAACTCTTTAAAACTTTCAAGCCTAATGCACATTACATTCCTATCAATTTTTATTTTAAGATGAAAATAAATTTGTTTTTAACAGAGGAATTATATACTTACTAATATATAGCAGTATCAGACCACCAAGTTTTACTCTCCATCCATGAAAACAGTCACTGCAATAACCTAAAAAAGGAATTAAAATTAACAAATTATATATTTTACAAAAGTGTTAAATTGTTCGCCAAAAATCAGTTTTCCGACTTAAGATTAAGCATAGCATTAAAACCAGTTTAATATCTATAAAAGCCGGAAATACAAAACATGTTTTGATTTTGTTTCAACATTATTTTTTTTCAATAATTTATGAGTTATCTCCCATTGAATGACACATTCTTTCAGTTTGTTGTACTAGTCTCCCCCTGAAGATGAAATCTATCTCAGAATTTACTTTTCAAATGTTATAACATTTTATTCATGTTACTAGAAACCATATATCAAACTAATGAAATAACTCTTTCTTGGTACTTTGAATGTGGAAAATAAAAAATAAATGTTTGATCTGTAAAACTTTAACCTTAAAATTATCTTAGTGAAAACTGTGAAAAAAAGTATATTTATTACATCGGTTGCAACAAAGTACTGTGATTTCCAAGTTAAATAAAAATTGATGATAATTTCATTTCTCTGATTTTATATGCAACAATGAGTGTTGTCAAATAAGATATTGTGGATGATGTTGCATCAAAACAAAATTGAAATGTGTAGAAAGTTATTTCTTGTATTTTTGGTCAATGTAACACAACTAATCAAAGAATTAAAATATAGAAAAATATTCAACTTATGACCAAACAATAATAATTTACTCATACCTACATACATTTGTGAATTAGTGTATTGTTCCTTCAATTGACGAATATTTTTTTTTATATTTGAATTTCAAAATTTTGCGGTTGGTTCTTCTTATGTACAATTACTTCAAAGTTTGACAAAGTTATTGATGTTTGAAAACTTTTTAACCATAATACTGAACCCTAAATTTTGACGCCTATAGCAAAGTAATGTGAATTGCTATGCCTGGCTTCTGCAACAAAATGTCACATGTAAAATAACAAAATTCAAAGGCGTTTACATAATCTTTAATCAACAAGTTTATAAATCTATGCAATGGTTCTTACCTTAAAAGTCGGATTCAATGATCATTCTAAACTTCAATCCATAATGACAAGCAGTAATTAATGCTAACCTGAAAGTAAAATGCTTAGGTCAATCAAAATTGTTCAAACAGAGGCTCTTTAGAGCCCGTGTTGCTCAACATCATCTTCAACAATAACCACTTCTTGATTAAAATCATCACGAAAGGGAAATAACTCTATAAAGTGTTACTTGACACATTCAGTCACGTTGACATATTTTAGATCTTGTCCTGCTGGTCATTTTTTCTAGATAATAGGCAAAAACTGAAAAAACATGGTAAAAATCATCTTTAAACATCAATAACTCCATGAACAGGTCGACTGAAGATTTAATCTTGAAATTTTATTGTCTGGATTTATAAATTAAATTATTTTTATTCCCTCAAGTATTATGTTGTCTGGTCACTACTGTCAGTTCCAACTTGTT